GCCCGTCCGTCCCCACATTCAGTCCATCCAGGCCCGGGGTCAGCACTTGAGGAGGACACGGAAACCCTCGGGCCCTGGAGGCCGCTAAGAAGCGTTACCCTCCCTGCAGTTGCCGCCCTGAGTCCTGTCGTTGACCAGGCTGCCGGGAAGTGGGCCCTGACCTCGCGACGGGACGGCCTCTGCAGGCCTCCAGCTGGGAGCGAGTGTTTAGAACCGCTGCCTGCGTGTGACCCAGAGGAAGTCCTCTCCGACGGGCACGTCTCAGTCAGACCCGAGTCCTGAGGGGCCTCCACGCACAGCACCCCCACCCCCCAGCCAGCACCCCTGCTGCTGGGTCCCCCCACCAACCTCAGTCCCAGTCCCGGAGAAGTGGGGTCGCCTCTGGGCAGGGTCACCTCACACTCAGCAGCCGCTGTCAGAGGGCCACTTTGTTTTTTTAAAAAATATATATTTTTATTTATTTCGGAGAGGAAGGGAGAGGGAGAGAGAAACATAAACGATGAGAGAGAGTCATGGATCGGCTGCCTCCTGCACCCCCACCCGGGGATCAAGCACCCAACCCGGACGTGTGCCCTGACTGGAAATTGAGCCGTGACCTCTGGTTCATAGGTCAACGCTCAACCCCTGAGCCACACTGTCCAGCTGGAGGGCCTCTCTGTACGTCACAGTTACCGCAAGGGGTGCATGAGCCGCGGGCTGTTGTTCACGGCTCTGCGTGGAGGCCAGGTCCTCCGTGGCACCTGTGCCCACACTGCAGGGGACCCGCAGCCTGGACAGGGCAGGGGCCCTGCCCACCGAGGACAGAGAACCCCAGGGGGCTGGCCCTGAGGGTCAGGAGTCAGCACGGCCGTTCCACCTTAGAACGCCTCTCACGGAAAATTACCAGACTTTCCCTTTCCTTGTCCCGGGAAAGCCACTTCCGCTGAAGCCTGCATCATCCCCATCCTGGCAGGTCCCGTATTAACATCTAAAAGTTCAGGGCGCTGTCTTTGCGAGTGTGAATAACGGGGGGGGAGCCAGCGCCGTCTCGCTGACCTGCCGCCTCTAGCGGAACCAGCCGGTCAGGACGTCCAGTGACAAGTGGCAGGAGATGGGTCTTTAAGCCAAACCTGTGACATTGTTTCACAACAGGACGGTTTCATTTCTTTCTAGTCGTCCCAGAGTTAGCACCACTGCCAGGAGTTGGTAGAAAATTAACGCACATTTAAAAAATTTTTACTGATTTGAGAGAGAAAGAGAGAGAGAGAGAGAGAGAGAGAGAGAGAGACATGAGTTTGTTGTTCTACTTATTGACGCACTCATTGGTTGCTTCCTGTATGTGCCCTGACCGGGGTGGAACCTGAGCCTTGGTGAATTCAGA